CACCGCGCCAGAATCAACTCCCCTGCACGCGTCAGCGGGGCTGTTTGCGGACTCGCGCCATCTACGACGAGGCGCCGGCGCCGGCTGTCGGGTCCTGCGGGGATAATGGCGGCCTCCTCAGTTTTTTCTGTGCGCGGCGGCGGCGGGTGGCGGCGCGGATGTCCGCCATCCGCGCGGGTGCGTCCTGAAATTCCCCCAGCGCTGCTTTCGCAAGTTTATCAGCCGCCTCGTGTGTGTGAGGGGCGCCGGCGCGCCCAAAAAAATAAAGTTAAAGCGCGGGCGCACGCGCCACGACGGAGCGGGCCGGCGATGACGCTCCAAATGCGGCGGAGCACCCCGTCCGTGACTCGGGTCGGGCCCGTTTCAAGCGCGCTCAGAAGAAGGGACGGTGAGGCAGTAAATACGCCCGCCACGCGCCTGCCGGACGTTTTCAGAACGCATAGCAGGATCTCAGCGGGCTCTGTTCCATGGCCTGGCACTCCGTTCGGCTGCCGCACGCCGGCAAGCCGCCGCCGTCACAATTCATATTGCACGGACGCGTGCTTGGCGCTACAACAAGCGGGCGGCGCGGCCAGACCGCACTCCGAGCTCTACGGAGCCGTCCGCCCATTGAGTGTGTAGAGGAGGGCATGCGCCTTCGACTCCACCCGTAGCATGCATCCCTTGCGTCCCTCCTCCGGATCGGCACCGGCGCCCAATCCGCCCGGCGGCGACGTGCCAAGGTACATACGAGCGTTGGCGGCATCGAGGGGCTCCGCGGCAATGGAGCCTGCCAAAATCACCTATGCTCGTGCAACTTCCCCGCCATCAGGCGGAGGGCTGAGTGTGTCGGGTTGGAAGGCGGGAAAAGAGCCTCGGCGTGGCGCTCTAACCTCGCCACTGCGCACGCACGACTGCAGATAGCACTGGGTACCCCGCATCGACGCAGCGCCCTCCAGCGAGAGAAGGCGAGCCTCCTCTTCAGCAGCTGCCCGAGAAGCCCCGACGCGAACGCCAGCGATGACGCCGGCGGCGCGGGTGTGGAACTTCTCCAGGCGCTCCGGCGCCGACAGCGAAGCCGTGTTGCAGCGCGCCACTGCCCCGTAGAGGAGTTTGTGGACCCACCAGCGAGGGTCTTGAGCAGCGGACGCAGTATTTTACATTTCGGCCCCCATGTTGTCGCTGGCACCGCCTTGATCTTCATAAATCTTGTTTTTGCGACAGTGAAGCACCCCCGCGCCTGCCGGCCAACCCCGCGCAATGGCTGGATCAAAACCGCCCCAAGAATCGCGGGAGGCGATACTCCGCCAAGCGGGCCCCACCCGCGTGCAGTTCCATGCTGTCCGTGAGTGCGGTGCCAAAACAGCGCGCACTTCGTCTTCGTGGCCCTGGGCTTCATGTTTGCTTCTGCTCTGCCCATTTTGAGACGGTATCCAACGCCTGCTGCAGAGTGCGCTCCATAGCGCCTCTCCCTCTCTCGATGATGCTAGTAATGGCGGTCAGATCATCAGTGAAGAAAGCAAGTTCAAGGTTGGGGATGCTCATCAGCTCCTTACTGAAACTGTTCACGGCAACGGTGGGCGGCAGCAGGCCGAGCACGAACCCCTGCGGAACGCCACGGGCGAAATGAACCGGTGCGGAGAGCGTATTTGTACACGCGGCTTTTGGCCGTGCAGCAGGGAAAGGAGTCCGCCACCCACCGGCTCAGGCACGGCGCCACCTTGTGCGCGCGGAGTGCGTGAAGGATGC